TTTATATTCGGTATCTGCGAATATTCTGTAACTTCGTATAATTCTATCACCTTATAATTCTATCACCTTATATTCGTATAATTCTATCACCGGTAGTTTTTAGTAAAATTCAATAATTTAAAAATACATGTAACTAAGCAGTTTTAAAGTAAAAACGCTGAGGAAAACATCGAAAAAAAATTTGAAATCTGCTAAATTTAAAAAAAAAATACATGGTATAACTATATTATATTACGATTTAGAAAAATCTAGATAGCAATAGAATAGACAGCAGAAACGTAGGATTTAGATAGCAATATAAAGCTTATTTAATTTATATTATAGTAATAGCTTATTTTCAATTATGCGTGTGGCCATAAATTTATTCACAATATAGTTAATAATCATCTGTGTGAGTTTAAAGTTTCAGTTGAATATGAACATGTTTCCTTATTCTTTCTTAAGGGGGACTTTATTTTTTTAAGTGTTTATATTCACGTTTGAGGTTGTTTTTAATAAATTTGTTTGGATAATATCCCAAAAATATGTTCTAAAGCACATTAAATTTTTGTGTTCCTGTGACTCACAAGTCACACTTAAACTAGCAATCAAAAATGTACTGTAAAATCCGTTAAAACGTATCTAATTCTCTTTCTATGACTCACAAACTACACTTTTACTAACAATCAAGACTGTATTCTAAAATGCATTAAAAAATCCAATTCTTGTGTTTCCGTGACTCACAGTTTATGCTTTTACTAACAACCTTTCAGCGTAACACTTTTTTGACTTATTTCTTTTTAAATTGTTCATAAGTCCTTTAATTTTTTCGTCATGATTAATTTATTCTTTATTGTAAAATGTTTCCGATACGATCACCTGAAGTAAAGTAACATTTAAATGAATAATCCCAAGAAACTGAAGCGGTAAAATAGTACCTGATTAAAAACTTCATTCTGTTCGAAAATATATATAGAAGGAAATAGCAGTCGATATGTTTTAAGGGCTCAAAAAATAGGCAAGATTTGCCGGACTTGAATGAGAAGAAACAAAATTGATTTGATGTATAAGAGGTATAGAACGTGGAAATTCATTTTACCCTGATTTGCCCCTCTCGACCACAGTGTTTTTGTTTCTTTTTTTTGTTTTTTCGGTTACAAGTAGTTTTCTAATTTTGTTTCTCACCTCTATTTTTCCATTTTACATTGGCAACTTTTCCTTTTATATTACAAATCACTTTTTTTCATTCACGTCTGGCAAATTTTGAACATGGGCGTCTATTTTTCAGTGCGTGAAGCATGTCGATTGTTATTTATATATCGACTGTCGACTTATATATTTTTGATGAGAATGAAGTTTTTAATCAGGTAAAATAACATTTATTTTTAAATTAAGACTTTATTAACTGAGTTAATAATAGTACTAATTTTTTTCGGAAAAACTTATAAAAAACGAGCAATTAAAATATCTATAGATTTAGAACATGCAAGTAAACCTATGCTAAATATCCATTTTTGTAAATATAGGATATTATATCTACACGGCGGTATATTTTGTAGATATTTGATGGTATTATGCATCATTTACTGAGCCAATTTTGTCACGGTTTTTTCATAGATGTTGAGAAGTTTTCGACTTAACATAATTATAAAAAAAACGTAATTATGAAAAAAAAATTATAGCGAGTAACTGTAGCACTGTATACAGGAGTAGACTATACTGTAAGATTGGCTCATACGTCAACTAAAACTACTTTTTAATAAATTTAGAAAATGTTATTTTGATGACTTACTATAATGCTTTTGCTTTGAAAGATGCAGTATTTAAGAACCTGTTTTCCTTAAAATCCCTTCAGAGAAAATTGTAGTTATGCTATCGCATACATTTAATTAAACGCACTTAATAATAAAAGTATTTATTTCATATTTCTAAATCTTATTAAGTATTAATGAACAACAAAAAAGGATAAAAACTGAAACTGCCTTAATTTAAATAAAATGATATTGTACTAATTAAAAATATCCTAAGCAATTTGGATGGTTTAGAATAAGTAAGCACAATCAATTTCAAATTAAGTTAATTGCGGTTAATGTCTTCTGCTTTAAATAAATTACCTTCTACTTTATTGAAAAATTAGATTCATATTTCTTCACTTTTATTAAATCTAAAAAACCAATAATATACTTGTAAAATAGTCCATTAGTTTATATCTGACTTTTGAATTAACATCGGAAAACTTTTCACCGAAAATATTTGCCGGAGGTAAATATTTGCATAGAGCTTCGATTTACAATAGCTTTTCAAAATCAAATAACTGCCAGGCATATCAGCGAGACTAACATATTAGTTTGCCAATTATTTAAGTTACTTTTTGTTTCCCAACTGAGTTGAAATAAGCCTTCGCAGTCATTAAGTTTGAAGGTTTCATTATATTTGATTGTGCTCTTATATATTAAATGCTTGGCAATTTATAATTAATCAAGCGTATATAAATATTTAGTTTTAATAAACTGCTAGGCTTTATTTTGAATGTAATGAAATATTTTGAGAAAAGAATAGTAAAACGAAAGTTCAAAACGGGAAACTTAGCTGCAATTTTTTTATCACCCTTTCGTAGATTCAATTTTATACAGTCACGAAATACTGGTTAAATTTTATTTAAAAAAGTTTTGCAAGAGATAAATTAAACTCTAAACTATCACGAGTTTCAAATACCTACCTGATTGCGTTACTTTTCTGAAAACACGCTTTAAACAGGCTCTGTAAAAAATGATACGGAAGAAAATTAGATTTGTTATTTGCATTGGAATCAGATTCGTATCTTATAACATTTCAAAAAATTGAAAACTTTTTTTTTAATAAAATTCTCTAAAGATTTTTGTTAAGGAAAAATAAAATGTTGGTTAAATGGGAGAAATATAAAATATATTCATGTTCTGGCTTTAAATATTATATATAACTTCAAAATTATATGGTAGATTTTAGTATTAAACGTATTTCCCTATTCAGAGCAGTCTACTAAAATTAGTAAACTTTTTATATTTTAAATAAATGATGCAAATTTACTTATTTTTGAGTAAAAAATGCTTAAAAAAATTTATGGCTTAATACAGCTAACTAATAGTTATTGGCGAATAAGAACTAATGATGAAGTAAAAGCTATTATCAAGCATAGAAATATTGTAAAATTCACCAAAGCACAGAGGCTTTTATGGCTTGTTCACATTGAGGGATCCCCTGACAACCAAGTGATAAAGATCGCGCATTGGAAGCCCATGGGCAATAGGACAGGAGGCAGACCAAATTAAAAAGGGATGGATGATGTCTTTAATGATTTAAAAACTTTAAAGATCTCAAACTAGAAGATCAAGGACAAGGAAAGAGCTCTCTGGAGAAATATTGTGCGGTAGACTAAGGTCTACCCTGGGCTGTAATGCCATAAAAGAAGATGAACATTTGAAGCTTATGGAAAATATTTAAAATTAAAAAAATAATAAGAAGAATAAAGCATTAAAGCAACAACTCGTAACGGATCAGAGGGTCATGGAGATTAAGGTGGTGACCAATGGCATGATAAGGACAATGTGTTCAGCATTGCGCTCAGATATCCTTTACTATAGAGGCAGCTGCAATCCATCTATCAGAAGATGGGTGGGCCTCAATTAAGGATCGAGCCCCAATTCTTCACCACGGCAGTTTAATGTCTTGTCATTGAGACTTCACAGCTCAAATTTAAATGTTTAAAAAAATTCACAAATTATCGATTGATATTGTCCTTAGAAAATGTGCCTGATATGTGAATTGCAGATGCATCCGAAAGTGCATAAATCAATTGCGTGCAAATTGCATATGCGTATGTAATATATATGCACGAAGTCTGCATTGATTTCTGAAAATGCAGTACATTATTTAAGGTGGTAAAGGGCGGCAAAAAGGTTTTATACACCTCAATACACGCAGAAAACTGTTAGGTGAATTGCGAGCAAATTGTACATGTATGTGCATTGTATATATGTGAGGTCTGGATTGGTTTCTGTAATTTTCCCTCAAGTTTGAATTTCAGAAATTTTTTTTAACGCATTGTTTTTTTTCTTCTTTTTACTTATAAACTTTAGGACAATGCAAAAATAAAAGTTAATTATTTTAAAAACTCAAGATGGTGACCTGAAGTATTTTCGTTTAATTTCTAATAACTTTTTCTATCAAAAGAACAATCTTTTTGCATAAAAGGTAGTTTTCTTTTGAATTATTGTTTTAATAAAATTGTAATTTTTTTTAAGTTATGTATGATCTTTAGAGCCACATACCATATGCAAGATACGCTAGTCTTTCTTAGCCACTTTCTTCATCTTTTATCGTCTTCTTTTCAAGCTTCCATTTTTCTTTAACAATTAATGTGATCAATGGTCAAAATTTTGAAATTGTTTGTCTTTAGCCTGTATTTATTTTTGCCCTTTCTAATTGTTAAACAAATAGTTATAGGTGAGTTGTTTTTAATTAGTTTGGTGAAAAAAATGGGATATTTTTAAACTACCGTATATAAAAAAGCATTTTTCAAAAAAAAAAATTTTTTTTTCCATATGCAAATAACAGCTTTTAAAATCATACTTGGGCTACTTGTAACACTTTTTTTCTCGTGAATGAGGATTATTTCCTATTGCTACAAAGACAAATTGCATGAAAATTATTAAAATAAATCACTAAGATCGACTATTTTTAGTCTTCTAGCTGAAACTAAAAATTGATAAAAACTTTTACTAGCAATGAGCTTCAATATTTTATTCAGAGTTGGCTATTTTGAATCTGCAACCAACACTGTATTTTTCATATACATTGAAAAAAATCGAAATTAAAAAAATACTGTTTGTCGCAAAATGAAATGAATCGTTCCTTTTAATTATAACAAAAATGTTAGAAAAATTTCTAGAAAAAAAACTTTTTGATATTGATGTTATTCAAACGGCAATACTAAAGCAATTTACTGTAAAAGTATTAAGTTAATGAATATATCTTTTTATTAGCTTTGCAGGATCGAAGCAAAGGTATTATTTTCAATGGCGAGCAGAACATGAACAAATATGGAGGACAGTATGAAATATCTGGATCATCTGTAGAATACCTAAAGACTAGTAATTCAACAGAAGAATTGATAGTTAAAGGGCCTTTGACGCAAGAACTTTATGTCTTGGTACGTTCATGTTTGAATTGATAAAAAAAAGTGGAGAAGTGGTAAGGCTTCTTATGAAGTTCACAATGCACATTTTCTCTTTTTATTCTCATTATATTTGTGATGACTTAAGTGTAAAAAATTTTAAAAAAATATCTTCTTATACCTTTTCATACCAGCTTATATTATCTTATGTCATCTTCTATTCCTTATAATAATAATAATTCTTATTATTTTAATGCAATATTCAAATCCATTTTGATTCAATTCGGATCAAATATAACACTGTTGGAAATTTCTCAGAAACATTTTTTAAGTAACAATTTATTTGTTATTTTATCATATTCAAACAAAAGAGTCAAATAACTATAAATAAGATGGTATTCAAACTGTTAACGGGGGAAAAAAACCGTTCATTAACTGCTTCTCTTAATACGTTTAAATAACCAGAATTTTATCACACTAACTGAGCCCACCTAAAGAGGCCACTTACTTCCTTGCAGCTGGGTACATATTATAGTAGAAGTCATATTATAGTCCTATATTCCCTTCAACATATGAAGAGTTTCCAGTGTCCTGCACTCCCCAATTTATGACCCTGGGCTGTTAGAATAAGTTACTCTCAGTCACGTGTAGATGGCAGCACCACAAAGCTGCTAAACTATCTCCTATGTCCAGTTAAATTTCTTTTTTATGGTTTTGAAACCATGGTAGTTGTAAATTGTAAAAAGTTAAAAAACAGCATAGCTTCGTATTCATAGTTTTTTTAATCATACTAGTTGTAAACGATTTCGAAACCATGAAGGTAAACAATGTTCTTTATCTTAAACTTCACGGGTAATTGGATTGACAGACTGCTGCCTGTTATTTTGCTATAATTTCAGAATGGAAGATTTTACAGTGCAGAATGGAGAATAGAAATGGGTAAATACCGATTTTTTTGGCAACAGTTTCAAACACTTGAACCATATAGTATTAATCTTATAATCGTATGAATCTTATTTTGGATCTTAATAAAGGATGGAAATATTATATCTTAATAAATGATGGAGTTATGAAATAAAACTTCCAATGGATTCCATTCCATGTCTGAGATGAATTGAATCTATCAATTTTCGTAGATCAAATTCGTAGTATCAATTCAAAAAAGAACTAGTTCAGGACTAATTCCAAATGAGTCAGCTGATTCAGCTAGTAAAAACTAAACGTTCCTTCTGAATTGTTTTGAATTGATACAAGAGGACCTGTTCCTCAGTTGTACTAGATACTTTCGGATACTAAGTACAATATATCAGGCGCGTTTCACAAAACTTTTTACACAGATTGATAAAATATAGGCAATTTCAAAGCATATCAAAGTAGTAATATCCATTTTATTCGTAAAAAAATGAAATATATCCTTATTTAATGATTTATTTGATATACTAGATACATTTAAGTACTAAATACGAAATATCAGGTACATTACACAAACCTTTTTATACGGATTGATAAAATTTATGCAATTTTGAAGTATGTCAAAATAGGACTCCCCATTTTATAAGAATCATTATAAGTTTTATTCGAAATAAAGTATTTCTTTAATAAAGTATTTAAAAAATTAATAAAACGTGAACTGCTTAACCTTAAAATAAACTTTATGACAGAATGTCAATATCAGGAGACTTATAACTTTGACATATTTTGTGTATCAGTTTCTAAATTAGCTATTTAAGCACAACAAATGACAAAACTGAAAGAGAAAATGCTTATTTTAATAATACTTCCAATTCAGAGTTAGAAAAAGAAATATTTAAATCTTAATTTGCGAAGGACATTATTCAATCCGTCCCTTCGTTGGTAGCACCAATTAGAAGGAGAAAGTATTTCCGTTAACTAGTCAAATCAATAGTAAGAAATATTTAACCTTTAGTTAGAATGGCATTTTCCTATCATTGTATAAAAATTAGTCAAAATTTTTTAAATTTTTGTGTGTAAATACATTTTGTAATTTTGAACAGAGTTTTAGCGTCTCTAGTTGCAACATTAAACTCCAGTACTCAATTATCCCAATAAATACCACTCCATTAAACCCCAATAAATATCCTGAATCGACGTATATCCAATTAAAATTTCCAATAAATACCAGTTATAATATTAAGTAATTAATAAATTCAAATTATATATTTATTTTTAAATGCACGATTGAAGTGAAAGAAACTTTATTTAAAAGTCAATTTTATATTATATCGTAACAAGTGAAGAAATGAATTTAAAAAATAATATATTTGAACAAAGTTATGAAACAGTGCAAAGCAATTATTGGAAAATAATTACATATAAATATTATCTCACTCGTGCAACGTACAATCGTACACCTATGAAACTCTCAGGTATTTAAAAAAAACTGTAAGCATTAATGAACTGAAGCTAAGAAGCAATTACAAACTATGCATTAAATTCATTCGCATACTTTTTTTAAAAAATTAGCTTATAACTTAACTAAATTGATTTGGTTTTGAGCTTACAAATTAAATGATAGTTTACTATTACCTCATTTATTAATTACGGTATTTTAATACTTTTCGTAATTTCAGCGTTCTTTTTCAAGAATTTGGCTAAACGGACTCAAAAACGCTGAAATGTTATTAAGTTGAAATGTGATAATTATTTTAAATAGATACCGTAAAATTCATTAGAAGAGTATATTTGTTTGAATAATTATAAATATTTGTCATAGTCTTTTTTTTCTTCTCTTTCAATCTACAAGACCATATTTTAAACTAACCGAAATCGGTGTCAAGTGAACTTTCCCCACTCCGTAAGATCAAAATCTTTATCAGTCTTAAGATCAATTTTTTTTTTTCAATCTACAAGACCCAATTTTTAACTAACCGCGTAGTTGAAATGAAGCACATTTTTTTCCCACTCCAAATGCTTTAAAATTTTCATTGACTCCGACTTCATAGTCTTGGTTCTGATGAGAAAATGATAACTGTAATTTTTGATAAATATATTTTAAGTAAGAAAAAAACGTATTGTTGTAAAATTTTTGCGAATATCTCTGGAGAAAAATTTTTTTAAGTCCAAACGATTTAGAACAAATCTAAAGAGTTATAAACATTTATTTCACAAATATCGTGATCAGAATTATAAAAATTCTATAATTGGTTTCATTTGTTTGTTTAATATGCTTGACTGTCAGCAAATAACGGAAAATACTCTAGTAAAAGAATCATATGTGCTTCCTTTGTGAGTTGTATAGGATGCGCCCCGTGGAGTGTCAAGATAACAAAGGGCGTGTCGAATAACCAGCTTTTTAGAACCCCACCTACGCCGACACTCTCCCATGATTAAAAAATATCCCCATTCTCTCTAAGTTAATACAGAAATAAATTTATGATGGGTATTACTTTACTTATAAGAACACACTTAAACTTTATTGCGTTTTAATTAATTTATAGCCGGCAGCAATTTTATTAGTAGAACGAGAAATAAATTTAATTACGATCCCCATCAAACTCGCGACGTATTTTTATTTTACTTTTTTAGTACTTTATCAATTAACCTCCAAACTTAATTATGTTCTCCAACTAAGAAAAAAGTATATTGCCAGCATAAAAATAGAACTGCTTACGAAATACTACTTACGCTTTTCGGTATCCGATTTTAAAAAGCATTAATGCTGTGTGTATTTCTTCCTATTAAAATGCCGTTGTTTAAATTAGCATATTCTCGGCAAATATAAAAATTACTAATTTCATGCTTCCTACATGAAAGAGATAAAAGCCATTTAAAGTTTATTGGTGGATTTATGTTCATAAACTTTTAACTCTTTATATGGTTGTGAGAAGTATACTTTTCCACCAACTTGAGAAATTTTTAAATGTCGAATGAATGATGTGACTTGTGCGGCTCTCTGCTGAAAACTGCAGAAAATACAAATTAAAACTAATGAAGGGCTTGGTTTACATAAATGTGAGCAACACTAAAGGTTTGTGTGGGGTCAAGAACAGAATCCAATACTGTGGGAAGTTATTTTTTCTAGTGCTTTATGCGTTCGTTCATTTGATCATTTCTCATGTTTTTTTTTTTTTTGGAAAATATAACACAAAATATGTAAACTTAGTTTTTTTATAAGCACATAAGTTCACATTTTGCACCGACCACAGTTCTGACGTGAAATATCCTCAGTGGTAGACGAATCATGGGTTAGAGTCCCCTTGCCGTCAGGATAACCGTGAGAGGTTCTCGTGGTCCTCCTTTCCGGGTAACGCAAATGCTGGTTAACTCACTCAAAAATTCCTCCACGAAGGCAAATTTCTCCCAATACTCGATCCAGGAGTTCCCTTGTCTTCTTGATAGGGTTCAAAATTGCAAGGATACGGAGTTGAACATTAGTAGTCGTAAACCCACAAAATTGAGTCGGCTGTTCAACGACGGTTATAGATATTTTAAAAAAAACGTTCAAGTTTAGAGCCGATTCCTTACAGAAAGTTAATCTTTGAGAATCCTACTCATCCTTCACGCACAAAAAAAAGAAGAAAAAAAACAGATGATTTAAAAAATCACATCTAAGCTATAATCTAAATTAACTTCTTTTTACAACTAAATCTAAGTCCCAAAAATATTTTAACACTAGCGGGAAAAAAATAACCTCATAAAGGATTAAACAAAGACAGAGATAAAAAAGAAAATTCAAAATTATTTACAAGGAGAACCATAAAAATTAAATATAATATTAATATTGAATTATTTAACAATTTTTAAGCTATGAATTTAAGGTAAAATGCTTCAAAGTGTTTATCACTACAGGGACCACTTACAACTCAGCATTTCTGAGCCTGTATCTCATTACTCTGTGTTAGAAGGTTGCCTCTCCCAGGGACAGAGGTTCGAATCGGAGATAAAGACACACTTAGCACAAAAGTGACACACTGTTTACTGCTTCAAATCATTTGAAAACTATTAAAACGTGTTCGCAATTTTCGTAAGACTTAAAACGAAAATGAAAAGTAAAGAAAAAGTTTTGCGTTTTACAG